TAATTTATTATAATGCTAAAAAGATACTTAGCCTATGATCTATCAGTTTTTACTTCTGGATATTTCCCCAACAGAAATGAAAACATAGGTCCACAAAAACTTCACACACAAATTTTCATAGGAATTTTATTCATGATAATAAAAATGGCAAGGCATCTAAACAGCCTGATGAATAGAAGCAGAAATCATGGCGTATTCAACAAACAGAGTGCCACATAACAATAAAAAAAGAATGAAAAATCACACCTACAAGCAATAAATCTCAAAAACTTTAGAGTGAATTGCATAAAACCATTTATATGACGTTTTGAGATAAGTTAGGTTAACCCATAGTGAGAGAAAGCTCCTCAATGAAGGGGGACAGGTGGGAAAGTGGGCGTAGATTGTACACAAAGGAATGTCAGCATGGTTTCTAAGAGTCACACTGTTCTACACCTAAATGACAATGGTGGTTGTGTTCTCATATACATTTATAAAAACGCACAGAACAATTAGCGGACTTGAAATAATTTTAATTGTGGTTTCCAGGAAAGGCATTTAAAATATGTCTTCACGTTGTTTGTAAGTTTTGGCCTAATTTCTTAAGGTTGGAATGCCGTTAGTTGACATGCGGAAGTCAAGGATGGCAGATGTGAGGCCAAAGGTGGGGAATCCAGTTTTCCTTGCATCAGGATGCAGGTGTCTCTTTGGTCTCCTTCAAGCACCTGAAATTGATCAGCCAATCGCAGGGGCCCAGTGGGTGTGCTTTCCTGGCTATGTCTGCTTTTGCTTCCAAGGAGCAAGCAAGGGGCTTCGTTAGTCTTATTCACCCTGACCCTGGCCCTGGAGCTCAGTCCTTTCCAGAATGCCCTAGAAGGTGACAGAGGGCACAGGGATGTATTCTGGAGGTGGGCAGTGCCTTTAATTAGGTCAGCTTTCTATCAGAGGCCCGTTCCTGAGGCCCAAGAGGTGCTAAATACTGGAAACCTAGAAGGTAGAGGTGGAAGCCCACTGAGCGTCCTGCAGTCTCTGAATCCTGCAGCCTATGAAACCCTAGGAAGACTGACAGCACCTGGGGAAGAGGGGTCCCATGAGACCACTCTGCCCATATTGTCGTAGGGCCTGGGGAAGTCATACTCGCTCACAGGGCCTCGGGTGCTTGGGTGGGGAGTCTGGACTGTCAGTGTGGCTGCGATTTTGAGGGGTGCCCTTAGCAGCGAGTTCTAGTGCAGGAACACCTTCTCTGCAGGCTAGCTGCGGTGACCCCAGGGTGGCGCTACCTCATCACGGTCCAGTTGAGCGGTGCCCCCTGGTGGCCTCCCGAGACTGCCGGGACCGGCAGCGCTGCTCACGCTGCTAGAACAAGGTGGAGACACGGCCCTCTGCCCTGAAGCCAGACTTGCTTCCTTCATTTAACAGTGTGGTAATTGCGCTTCACAATTCGCGCAGAACGCACTGAGAGCCTGGCGGCCTCTAATCTTTTAACCCTCTCCCGACTTCTGGAGCCTTTCTGGAATTCCAATTGCCTTTTTTCCAAGAACAAGTTCAGGGGAGAGTGCTCTTGTCTTTTCGAGAGCCGGTCCCCTGTAACCTGGTCTTTGTGAAGGGGAAGAACACTCAGTATAATGCGTGTCCCTATCTGAATCCTCTGAGGTCACTCGGAGGTTTGGGGGCTGTGGACATTTGAGGTGATGCACTGAGAGACCCGTAGCCCAAAGAGAAGGGTTTTAGGGGTACATAAGGAACCTGAACAGAGGACTTGTTATAATTAGCTGTCCCACTGTACACTGAGTCTGTCTTTTTGGCTTCTAATTACACCCCTAGGGCTGCAGCTCCCACCCGGAGAGTGAGAAGATAGGAGGAAAGGCGTGGAGAAAGGGGTGGAGAGTGACGGGAGGAGGGGAGGCGGGGCGGGGCTGGGGGAAGTCAGCTCTGGTGACAGCAAAGGATGGAGGCTCCCCTGGGAGTAACCTGGGACTGCTAAAGATGGTGACTTTTCTGTTCTCTGGAGTATAGCAGTCCCCTCCCAAGTCCCGGGGGCTATATTTTGAGCTTGGCACCATTCTGAGCTAGGAATGCCCTCCTGGCACTGGTTGACTGGCCTCTAAGGTCATTCCCCAGGCTTTGAGTGGGTAGAGAATAGGGCTGGCATCAATTTTCACAGCTTGGTCTAAGCCAGCGCAGAAGGGTCACTATGGAGCTGCTGCTAAGCCTAGAGGCCTCTCTCCTGGCCTCTCTGTTTCTCAGGTGCCCCTGACCAGTGAGTTCTCGGAATGTGCCCAAGTTTGCTGGCCTTCCTACCTTTGTTTAGAACTTTGTTGTCCCCGCTGCCTACACCTTTGACCCTTGGAATCAGCCCTACCACCTGCTCTGATTTCTCAGCTGAATTCAGAGCACTTGGGTCTTTGCTCCCAGCATCGTCAAGGAATGTGTCACGTTAGGGCCTCGCACACACCAGCTGCTAAACAAATAAAGCATGATTGACAGCTGGAAGGGGCCTCGTTTAGCTATCTGTGGGGTGTGACTGTCACACTGGCCTCACCTTTCAGGGAGATGCTCTGGGTGAGACTCCTCCCTTGGAGATAAGCTCCTCCCCCTGGGGCACTCTCAATCAGCTGTCCTCCCTCTAGCTCCTCAGCCTTCCCATTCTTTGTCTAGATCTCTCTATCAACTTAAAAGATCCCTTTTCTGGCCCTTCCTCTCTCAGCCTTTGATCTCTGCCTCTTCTGAGCCTGCCTTCTTCCCCACTTTCCTTACTAAGTCAACCTTGGCTTTGACTGTATGTCATCTTCTCATCTCTGGGGGCCCACTGGGGATGCTTCCTTTCCTGGGAAACTTCTCCTGGCTGGGCTCATTCTTCTTCCAACAGCCTGGTGAGGCCAGTTGAAGGGTCTCAGGGAGCACCTTGGCTCACCTAGAATCACTCCTCATGGTGGAAGATTCCAGCACTTGTCCAAATCTGTTCCCTCTCCTCTGAGCAGGGAGGATTATATTTCGTCACCTGTACAACAGTTAGACAATGCCACGAGACTAGCTCTGGCCAAGAGCCTGGGAACAGAAAGACTCTGTGTGCCTTTTGACCAAAACACTTGCTTACCAAGGTGAGACCTTCTTAGCTTTCTTCCCTGCCTCATTAATTGTGGATGATGAAACAGAGATAATTCAAGTCCAAATAGTTGGCGTACCAAGCCACCCTTGGAAGCCACTGCCCTAGGAGAGTCACCCAGACAAGCCATGGGCTTTGTGCAAACAAGAGATAAATGTGTGTTGTGTCATGTGACTGAGACTAGTGAGGCTTGTTGAAGCCTAGCCAAGTCTATTCTGAGGGAACTGAGGAGTTCGTTAAATGAATTCATGGCTTGGCAAACTGTAATGATCTATGCACATTTTATTATTGTTATCAAAGTGTAGCAGGTGCCTGGGGATCAGGGACTTTAGTTAGGTAGAGAGCCCTGTGTTTTGTGGCCACAGTACAGGACTGGGAATGGGTGTGGAGATTGATAAATGGGCACGGCATGTCACGAGAGAAAGTCTTTCTCTCATTAATGATTTGCCAAGGGCTTGCCTGGAACCTGTTTACATATTTAATCACTGATGAAAGGTTAACGAATTTGGCCCTCTGGGCAGAGGATGAACATTTTTTCTCCAATGTTTAGTTCTATGGCTGAGAAGATGAGATTTTTCTCCTGAATTTACAAAGATTCCTCACCCCCACCTCTCTCTCTCACACACACACAACTTCTCTCTCTCTCTCTCTCTCTCTCTCTCTCTCTCTCTCTCTCTCTCACACACACACACACAAACACAAACATACACACCAACCTCTCTCTCTCACATACACACCAACCTCTCTCTCTCTCAATATATGTGTGTATGTATATATGTATATACATACATATGTATGTATCGAGATAGGGTCTCACTATGTGAACCTGGCTTTCCTGGAACTCACTATGTAGAGCAGGCTGGCCTTAAACTCACATAAATCCACCTGCTTCCCAAGTCCTGGGATTAAAGATATGTTTCCACCATGCCCAGCTAAGATTCTTCATTTTCAAGTAGAACCCTGAGACTAGTGTGGCCTTCATCATGAACTGTGGTGAGGATCCTGCCAGAGGACTTTGGACTGAAGAATACTTGATAGAGATAGCCTTCTCTTCTAAGAGTCAAAAGATGGGGGGCGGGGAATCACTGCAGACTCTTTATTTCCTGAGTCTTTGGTTCCTCCCTTGTGAGGCTGAATGGTTCGAGAGAGGGGGTGTCAGGGAAAGATATAGTTGTGGCTGTGTCCAGAAAGGGGACCCTGGCCCTGATTCAGACTACAGGGTTTCTAGGCTCCATGGCAAAACAAGGAGAAGGATCAAAGGTCTACTATGGCCTGCTTAAATGTAAAGGTATCTTTGGTGGTTAATGTTCATGGTCAGTTTGGCCAGACTTGGCTCTAATGCACAGGTGACCCAGCACACAGGGTTCAAGGGCTACCTCCAGCTGCCTGGAAAGTGGACTTTCTGAACCCCTTGTACAGTCCCATACACGGACTCCGGCTTTGTGTAGGGTGTTCTTGAATTGTAACAGCAATCTTGAGCATAATACAATCAAAGTGTCTGGCACTTTGTTCTCTAATTGAAGGGAAAGTAAGATCCTTAGAGCCCCTTTGGCATTTGAGAGGCAAGATTTGCTAGATAATAGTAAATGGTCAACTATGACTATGGTATTCATGGATATAGCTGTTTGTGACCAAGCCCACATCTGGATACGAACTCAGGAACAGTGATCGGGCCACCCAAGAGCCCATTCTCATGGGTTTTTGACATTGACCTTCATGGAAAGCAAGACCGGGGTACAAACAACAGCAAGCAATACCTGGGGCCTAGTCAGCACCAGGCAGATGGCTTGAGAGTGACATGGCCTCTAGGGCACTTGACTACAGCCTCTGAAGGTGGAAGGTTGTCCAGAAGGTACACATTGTGCCTGTTCTCTGATAGACACATGACAGCGCAAATTCATGATCAACTTACACCTATGACAAAATTATAATATATTAATAGCAAATAATAGAATAAAGACTTGTGGGGACAACCAGTTTTCCAGAAGCTAAAGATTGGCATTCATTGTTCGTGAAGTTGGCTGGAGGCTATGCCTTCAGAATCTGGTTAAACTGCAGGGAGCAAGCCCAGGGTTAGTTGCAGAGGATCAGGTTCCAAGCAGAACCTTTGCACATGCTGAAACTGGCCCGTGAGGTTGTGTGCAGCCTCCTCCTAAGCCAGATGTGTGGAAATAAGCCTGGTGACTTCAGAAAGCATGCTGTCAGTAATGATGGCTTCCACAAAGACCTCAGTGTCACAGCAGCTGGGCCACACTGACACACAGCTTTTGACTTCTCTCCATATAAGGCATTTCTGGAAGGCACTTAAATGTCACATACGGCAACGGCAATTGCCTAGCTACTTCAGGGACGCGGTGAGGCAGCTCTCCGTTCTCACACAGGGTCAGGTGCACAGTCAGTCTGTGAGCCCTCATTGGCATGAATGGTCATGTCAGGATCTTCTCTGCCAATCAGTGGGCATGCGACATGTTTGGCAAGCATAAGAGTGTGCCCCTGATGCTCACCTACTGCTCTCTGGGAGGAGGCCCTAGTATGAATGGTGGTAAGATTGACAGGGGCTCTCTCAGAGAACCGTGTAGTATCACTGCCAAGCACTGTCTCAGCCAATAAACAGAGCCGTTGGTAAAACCCTTCCTTCTTCGGCTTCTGCCTTTGCCCCTCTCTTGCATAGCAGTAGTGGCCTCCAGCCCAGGCCCACAGAAGGTGACCACCTCCACCCAGAGGTAGTGAGAAGAAGTGGAGAAAATGTCAATGAACACGACGTGTTTGTAAGCAAGCCAACCTGGCTGCTCTCTTTGTGGGCTGCAGCTTGCCATCAAGCACCGTGACAGGTGACGTGCTCTCTGCTCCATTGCTTGCTCTGGCTGCATCTCAGATGGCCTCCCTTTACTCCTCTGCACACGGGCTGAGGTCCAGACAGTGGGGTCCATGGGAGGCTACTCTTCTGATTCCAGGGAAGGGTGGGGAGGGCTTCTCGTATCTCTGAATGTGAAGGGTCTGGTCTCCACTGTGAGGGTGGGACACTGGGCCCTTCCTAGGTCGTCTTCTTGTGGCTTTCTCAGTTTGAAATGGAACCCCAGAAAGGCAGAGAGTAGAGAGGCCTCAGGTTCCTACGAACAGTGTTTAAATGACCTGGCCTCTGGTTCCTTAGCTCCTGCTCTGATACCAGGGTGTAGGTTATAGAGAGAGGTCTGCACTTCCCAAAATGGTGGCTTTCAAATCAGCCTCGAGGGCAGAAAGTGAGGAAACTAAGGGAGCCAGCCCCTGGTGGGTTCCACTCTAGACTGAATCCAGGTGGAAAGGGACTGCAGCCAGCTCCTTGTTAAGAAATCAACCTCCTCCTCCTCTTCCTCTCACTCTGGCTCCAGGCAGGGTGGAGTCAGAGGAGAGCTGGCTGGCCTGGCCCGGAAGACACAGACCCCTATTCTCACTCTTCGTAAGTATTCCTGAGAGGCTGGTGAGAGCAGGGGCTGCCTCATGGGTGCCTTGTGGGAGGACCCAGCGCTGAGGATAGACTGCCTATGTGGTGACCCCTTCCAAGGAGTCTGGAAAACTGGACCCTCCAGTTCGGTGCTCATTCAGTTCAGCGCACAAGGCCTCAAGAACCATTGAGTAGACTTTAGGAGGGTGAGGCAGCTGAGACAAAGGAGGAACGGGACTGTCTTTCTTAATAATAAAGGAAGGGAGGGAAGAAGGGAAGGAGGGAGGGAGGGAGGTAAGGAGGAAGAAAGGGAGGAAGGAAGAAAGAAAAGGAAAAGGCATGTTAATATCAGTTAATACAGGCTAGTGTGGAGGGGGAGGATCCAGTCTCTGAAACGGGGGTAGCCATGACTGAGGGTCAGATGAGGCCCGAGGCATTCTCTTGCAGGCTGTATTCCCTGTTCTTCTTCACCCTCCAGCTGATAAAGAAGAGTAGCAGTGTGCCCAGGACCTTGTAGGCCACCTGCAGGCCCAGGTACCTGTGAGACAGAAAGAGAGAGGAGGGCTGCTCAGTCTGTGTCCCTGGGCCGAGGACAGCAAGAAGATGAACATTGTTTTCACAGTGGCCTGGGAGCTGTGAAGGCCATCACTCAGCCAACAAGCTGCCATCTCCCAGGTGGGGGCCACTTTGGGCATACATACACTAGTGATCCTCTGCTCCCAGTGGTACCACTGAGGGCCAGAGGTGACACCACCGCCCCAGCTGTGCTACAGGGCTTGTAGCTTCCTGTTGCCCCTCTGCTGGTCTTCTCTGTCAGCCCTCTAGGCCTTGGACAGCCCCTTCAAGGCCACCTTCTTCACCACTTCTAGATGACGGATTGGCAACAAGAGGGAGATGGCTGGGTTTGACTTACTGGCATCGGTTGGACCCCCTTCCTGGGACCCCTGCTGGGTGCTGAGCTACAGACCCCGTCTCTCTGAGCAGTGGAGGCTGTGTGGTATCTTCTCACATTCATAGTCTCTCTCAGCCTCCAGCACCCCTTTACCTTTGGTAAACTTTTTCTGCTGCCATGGGCTCATGAGGGACAGAACCTCGGGAGACATCTCAAAGCAGACCCTCCGTCTTCTTACCTAAATGGCTTCTTACAGGTGCATACTATGGTGGCCCCTGCTCTCTGTCCATGGCAGAGTTTGCAGAGACATCCCTCCTATCTTGTCCCTTAGAAGGCTGACAGCTCCTACCACAACCACAAGGCAAATGCCTGTTTGTTTTATTTTGTTTTGGTCTGCTGGGACCACAGGCCAGATCTCTTCAACACCCGTGTGGGTAGGAGCCCTCACCTGTCTCGGAGAGCATCATTGTCATAATATGAACAGGCCCCTCGTCTCCCTGAGCACAGGTAGTTCCACCGGATACAGGAGGAGTCAATGATGAGACCATACAGGGCCGGAGATGGCAGCCAGGCTGGCGACAATGGGAAAGAGTCAGAATTACAGTGACTTGGGAAAGCAGAAAACTATCGGTTAAGCTTAAATCCTCTTCTCAGCGGAAGGTTTAGGAGATAAGGGGAATCCTTTCAGGGCAGAGTGAATCCCAGGGTCAATCTGATGTCAGCTCCCCCACACTGCACACTTCAGTTCTCATGCTCAAGGCTGGCCCCAAGTGGAGACTCTGCCTGGAGAGTACTGATATCCCCAGGCTCTCACGTGGTCTCCAGGTGGCTTCATTACAATGAAGAGCAAGTGAGCAAGGGGGCACAAGGATTGCAGTGTGGGACGTCCTTCTGTCTATGTGTTGCTTTTATTGATTAATGAATAAATGTGTTTCGGCCAGCAGCTTAACAGAATAGGGCAAGGTGGGAGTTCCAAGCAGATAGAGGAGGAGAGAGTAGGCAGAGTCAGTGAGACACCACAGAGGAGAAAGACATGGACACCAGCTGGAAACTTCGCCCACGACCTCGTGGTGAAGCACAGATCAATGGAGATGGGTTAGTTTAGGATATAAAAGCTACCTAGCAATATGCCTAAGCTACTGGTCAAATAGTATTACAATTAACATAGTTTCAGAGTGGTTATTTCAGGCCTGGGCGGCCGGGAAACGAATGAACAGCCTTTGACTACAAGGATGCACTGAACTCTACTTTAAATCCTATGTTCTTCCCTCCAAACTGCGCTTCTGGACTAGACAACACCCCTTGAAAACCCTTACTATCCAAACTGCTCAGAACCTAGGCTGCCAAACGTTCCAGCACCTGGGTGGTAATGCCTACATAGTCCAGCAGGCACAGTGCTTTGCTGGGTGCTGACTATTCTAGATGCCCACTCCTCAACCCCACCATGCTCTGTGCTGTTAGCTAAATTCTGGGCAGCCAGTGGGTCGGAGTGGACTTGTCCAGGATTGGCACTGGGGATGGGCCACGCCATACTTAGAAACAGTGCCCCAAACATCTGACTATCAACACCCTGTGAGTTGCTGTTTCTGGAAGGAAGAGGTGACCCAGCCCTTGACCCTAGCCCATAAGTGAGAAACTTCCAGAAGCAGCCTCTCAGTCCCTGGTCCCTTTCCAGTTTCCAGGTGAATAGTGACTGGAAACAGACTCTGGTGACACATCCTAAATAGAAGCCAAGGAGAGTTTTCAACCATATCTCAGTGGGTAACTGCACACCGGCTGGAGTTTATAAAATAGGCAATCTTTTCATCTGCCCCAGAGTGGAGCTGTGTTCTGGAGCAATGAGTGGAATTCCTCCAGGCCTGCGTTTCCTAGCTGTGGTCCCACGCTGAGTTAGCTGAGCTCAGGTGGGAAAGCAAAAGCAGCGCGTGTTTGGAGCAGCGGGACAGAGAGGCCATTCTCTAAGTCACAAATAGAAGCAGGGCAGGAGGTCATTTGGGAGGAATGCCAGGTCTCTTTCCTAGCCAGGCGTTAGAATAAGTCATAAATGAGCTAGAGATGGTAAATCAGAAGTGAATACAAGGAGCTGTGTGTGCCCCCTATGTGTCACAGGAAGGTGACAGGCATCATTTAGAGTGTTGATAAAGGTCCTTTGGAACTTAAAGGGACTTCATCACAGGACAAGTGGCTTGAGGTGAAGAAACTCCATGGAAATGCTGGCTCAGCCCCTGCATAGGCTCCTGCAGTTGACCTTAGAAGGGATGATGGCACATGCTAGAAGGATAATGGTTGTGACCTGCACTCCTGCTTAATAATGCAGAATAGAGTCGGAAGACGGTGGGGCATATGTGTTTAATCCCATCACTCGGGAGGCAGAGGCAGGCGGATCTCTGCGAGTTCGAGGCCAGCCTGGTCTACTAGAGCTAGTTCCAGGGCTGGTTCCAAAGCAACATAGAGAAACCCTGTCTTGAAAAACCAATAAAATAATAATAGTGCAGAACAAGCTTCGTATAGTTTTAGTGTTAAGGCAAGAAGGTTCACATTAATAGTAACTGAAATCCTTCAGGTTGGAATCTCCAAATCCAACCCCTGCAATTCTTAGTGCAAAGATCCTCTGTTGAACTTAATCTCTTCTGGCCACCCATTATAACAAGGCCTCCATATTAGTGCCTGGTGCCCGGTCTAATGCACGCATGTGTCAAGAGTGTCAAAGGGCAGCCCAGAGTGGGAAGGCTGGGAAAGCACCTGCAATGTGTCCCCTCACCCCACAATCCTGGCACTCAGGAAAATCCAGATGCCTCCTGCTCCCATGGAGGGCTCCCTCCCTGTGGGTCTCTGCTGATCATGTGTACACACAGCTTGAGTGTGGAGATGGGGAAGCTCCAGGTTACTTGAAGACAAACAGGGTTCATAGGCAGAGGGCCCCCTGACAGAAGAGACATTTGCTGAACCAGGGCAGAGGAGTGAAGTCTGGAAAAGGGTAAGAAAGCCAGGGCACAGATCAGAAGCTGCTGTGTCTGGGGCAGGAATGCGAGGTGTTGTTTCCTAGGATGAGTTCTTGGAGAATGTTTACAAATACCTGCTTTTAACTCTGTACGCGGCACTCTCAGTGACGCCCTTTGCTTTTCCTCTGCTTACATAATTTAGTTTGGCTTGAATGCCGTAGACAAAATCTTTCCCAATCTCAAGCAGTTAGGCAAACTGTTCCTGCTGGAGTTTGGTCCCTGTTGCTGGTTATCTACAGCTCCCGATACAGCAGACGGGAGGCGGGGCTTCTCCTGTTCCTGCCCCGCCCCATAGCCTTTCGACATCCACGGTCCAGGGCCTCTACTCCATAAAGAAAGCTTAGTTACCTACCCAGCAAGCGCATCAACAAGAACTGGACCCCAATGGCAAATGACTTTTCATCCTGGTTTACCACGCTGTAAAGGAAAACAGGGAATCAGCACAGGAAGGGCTCTGCAGGACTCTGGGCTGCAGCGTCACCTAGAGGGAGTGGGGCACGGGGTGTGTTGGGGGGGGGAGATAGACAGACTCAGAGCAGGTTAGAGCAGGTCGGAACCAGTCCTCCTCTAGTCTGATCGGGCACGTGGACAGTGAGATTTGCCCGGTTAAAGGTCCTCTTACGCCCATGGTTCTCAGTCGCTGCATCAACTTCATCAGAATACAGATTCCCAGTCTGACATTTATTCAAGATACACAGTATTCCAGGAGAGTTGGGTGCAAACTTGGATTCGAGAACCTACGGTCTGTATTGTTTTCAGGGCTGTCCAGAGACTGCTTGGAGAAAAAGCAGGCGAGAGAGACTGAGTAGAAGGGAGTTTCTGGCCGGATGCTAAGACAGCAGGTCTGAACAGCACCCATGGAGTGTCTTGTACCAGGAAAGGAGGGCCCTGGGCTCTCAGCTTCTGTGCAGGTATGAAAAAAATTCCTTGCCCTGGGCCAGCTTTGTGAGGTGTGACTTGAGCAGCTGCACTGGATGCCGCCCTCAGAAAGGCCCAGTTTGGTTCATGTATGACTTGAAATTCTTAATGATTCACATGCCAAAGGCTTTACATTTTCATTTGCACCGGGTTCCGTGGGTTAGACGCACGGCCCTTTCTTTCTCCTTCAAGAGGGAGAAGGCAAGGCCAGGTCAAGAGGTTCTAGTTCTCCCTAGAGAGCTCCCCCTTCAGCTGGAGAATGGAAGTAGGGGACTGGGCTGGGGGGCGGGCACCTCACATGCCGAGTGGGAGCCCAGAGCAGCGTCAGAACTGCCTGCCATGTGACTAGACTCGGACTTGTCCAGGCTTTCAGCACACATACTCCTGAGTAGGTGATTGCCATTTGGAAAAGAACTCAGAGCTGAGGGGACAATGAGGCGAGGACTCCACAGTAGCCAGACCATTGCACGGTGTTTTACAACTGCTGCCAGCATCGGCCAGCAAATGAGGGACATCCCCAGAGGGATGACCCTGTGAAGGGATGCTCTTTGGGGTACAAGTGGGAGAAAAAGGCACCATCTGGGATCTCCTAGGAGACAGTGCCTGGAATCCTGATAGAATAGATGTTCTTTTCCTCTGTATCTACAGCTTCCCTTCAATGGCCCAGTCCATAGTGGATGCCTGATCTTCATTGCCAAGTTAAGGAGCTGAAGTTAGCTGGGACACAAGCCCCTTGGTGTACCTATCCATGAGGTTGCACCCTGAGAGGTTTGACTAAGCTGGGAAGACCTCCCCTGGATGTTCATGGTACTATTTAAGAGTCTGGGCTCCTGTGCTGAGTGGAGAGGTGTGAACTTCTCATTGGTGTTCGCCTTCCTACTCCTGACTATGGCTACAATGCCACCAGCGGTCTCCTGCTCCTGTTCCACAGCTAGGGCTGCCCTTGCCATCAAGCCTGCCCTGCCATGATCTGTATCCTCGGACTGTGCACCAAAGTAAGACCTTTCTTCTGTAAGTTGCTTCTATCAGAAACAGGAAAAATAATGAACTCATTGCCCCCTTGTCTTTGTCCTTCACCTAGACAGTCTGACCACTGTATGTTTTAACTTGGTAAGATTCGGACACCCCAGTTTGGCTATTGACCGAGCTCCCCACCTATCCCCGAGTTAATCCTGGGTTTCTGACCTCTCTTTCTACATTGTCAGCTGGCCTCTGCTCCTAGACTGTGATCTCGGGTCTGGTTTGAACTAGGACTAATAACTGACATTTGGGGCATTTGTCAAGTTGCCTCAGGTCAGCAAAAGCTAGCAGTCATGCAAGAAGGGAATCCCACTGAAGACTCTTAGGTGGCATCTTTTCTCCCGGTGGGAGGTATCTTTAAACCACCTTGGGATCCTGGAGACTCCTCTCTGTTTCTACTCTAGACTGGCCAGTCTTGGGAGGGTTGAACTGATGCTGGTCTCCACACAGGAAGGTGCTTGATAGGCATTAAATGCCCTGTCCAAATCCCTTACCCTCTCTTCTCTTCAGGGCCTCATGCAGGTCTATGTCAGGGTCAGAAGGTAGGCCAGAACCTACTTAACCCAGCAGGGAAGAAGGGAACTCCACTGAAGCACCTTGGGTGACAGAGTCATTCTTTGGGGTGCACAGCGTGAGAAGCAGTAGCATTCATACCTATTCTTACTGAGACCTTCTAGTCCTGACTGCTGTCTTTGGGCCATTTCCTGGGGCTGTGGCTGCAGGTAGCAGCCTTGAGGCAGGAGCTGGAGTTGGCTCAGGGCTCACAGGATAAGCAGCGGCTCCCTCAAGTTCAGTGTTCCCATGCTGGAGGGGAAGCCTGCCGCACACAAAGCCCGCATTTGGATCTGTGTATCAATTCTGAAGGATCTGGAGGACAAGGATAATGGACACACCTTCAGGGGATGTGCTGCTGTCTGCAGTAACGATACCTTTTGTTTTCAATGCAAGAATTTCTTATCTTCTGCTAGCATCACTGAAAGAGCAAGAGTGACAGGAGCTTGGCAGCCTGTGGGCTAACTGGACAGAGAACTGACTTGGGTAGAGTAAAATTCTAGCAGCTGCAGTGTTGGAGCTCTAACCCAGGGCTTTGCACATGCTAGACAAGTGCTCTATCACTAAATGACGTTCTTGGCATAACATCTGGTCCTCCCTCAGCTCTTAAACTTCTGGAGAAAATAGGAGAAAATAGAAAATATGGAGAATACCGCCTCCCACTTCCTTTTTGAGGCAGGATGGGGGGCTCTCAATCTTCCTAATGCTGCAACCCTTTAATACAGTTCTTCATGTTGTGGTGACCCTAACCATAAGAGTATTGAGTTTGCACTGCAAGTTCATGATTTTGCTACTGTTATGAATCGTAATGTAAATATATGTGCTTTCCTATTGTCTCAGGTGACCCCTGTGAAAGGGTTGTTCAACTCCCAAAGGCGTCACAGATTGAGAAACACTGAGGTAGGGTTTCATGTTGCTTGGGTTGACCTCTAACTTACTACGTAGGCAAAGATGACCTTGAACTCCTGATCCTCCTGCTTCTGCCTCTCTCCAGTACTGAGTTTATAGGCGACACCACCACACCCAGCATGGCACCTTCTGTGTACAAAGCAATTGACCCTGTAAAGCTGACACTATCAAGGAAACTGAGGCTCATGAGGTCAGGCAACGCCCAAGGACACTTGGGAAATATGATGCAGAAACTTTGAATCTGACAGGGAGTTTCCAGTCTCTGTGTTTCTCCTTCTCTGCTTTCTAAGTAAGCAGAAGGGAAGGGCGGGAGGGCAGGAGGACATAGATGGAAGCAGGCAGGAGGTGGTCAAGGAGGAGCCCTCTCTATAAAAATCTTAGAGGCACTCAAGGGTCAGCTGCAACGAGACACCTCCCTTGTCCCTGCCCTGGGCAGTGTGCCCTGTCCAACATGAGCCCTAAGTCTCTAGCCTCCTGTGGTTTTCTCATTTTTACCCTTTCCCACAGCTTCTGGAACTTTCTTCCATTCCCAACTTGCTGTTTGTACATCTAGCTGATTTCCTCCTCTTTCTACTCAGTTCTTTTAAGACTGAAAAAGAAGTGAGTCTGTATGCACATGTCTTTAACACGGGGCTCAGCCTTTGGACAGCTCTGCCATCCTGGGCTATGATTTAACTTCAAACAAATAGAATGAAGGTGCCAGCAGAGCCTGTGTCTCCTAGGTGCTGGGGGCCCGAGTGAGGCCACCTTACAAGGAGCTCCTCCTGGGACCGGGAACACCTGCTGTGAGTGTACTCTTTCACCTTGTCACCACTGGACACTCTAGGGTTTGGAGGAGAGACTCCAAGCAGAGACAGGATGGAACATCAAAGGGAGGGCGGGGAAGCTCAGAGACGCCACTCACCGAAGAACCATCATGTAGAGCGGGTTGTGGGAGACGCAGGCGATGAGCGCCACAACAGAGATGAGGAAGATGGACGGGAGCAGGAAGTGTGCACAGGACACCGGGCAGGATCCTGTCTTTGCTGACGCAGACCCTCCAGTCACACAGCTGCAGTTCAAATAGCTCTTGACAAAGAACAGGAGGGGGGTACGTCACGATTCTACCTCCACATGTCCACACCTCCACACAGGCTCTTGCTGCAGACTCCCACTGGTACGAACCCCTTTGCCCTCTGGTCCCCAGGGAAGATTCAAAGACTGCGAGGCCAGATGAGGCTTACTGTTCGGGCCTTAGAAACAATCTTCACCAGGAGTCCAGCATGGGCTAAACTCCTGCAGTCTCTTACCTTCTTATCATCTAGATGCCTAAGATCTCACCACCAGGCAAAATACCCACAGCGAGGAGCCTAGAGCCTGGGAGGGCTCTCCTCTGGGTCCAGCTAGCTGCAGTGGTTGTGCGGGTTGTTACAAGAAAAGATATACTCGGGGAGCCCAGGAAACAACAATGGAGTCCTTTGAACCCTCTGTATCACTTCCCACCGAGGAGGCATCCTTTGGCCTAAGAGGGGACCCTAGAGGAGAATTATTGAGTCATAATTCTATGTGACTCAATACTGTTGTACAACTCATTTAGTGGCCTCTGTTCATCTGGCCATCTTTACCTTTCCCCTTACGGTGGCTGATGGCCAAACCTATGATGCGTTCAGAGCTGTAGCCGTCCCGGAGCTATGTGAACTAATGGGCTGGGATGCTTCCCTCCGTCAGACAGTGGGTCCCATGCTCCCACCCCTCCTTGGCTCTCAAATTCAGAAGTTTATAATACACAATACTGCTGTTACCTCCCTTGGTCTGGATTAAACTAGCAAGGCTTTTTCCCCTTTCAATTTATTATTTTTTCCTTGATATCATGGTAATGGATTTTATCTTGATGTACTTGTGTTGTTATTGGAAGCTTGTCAAGATTATTTCTGGAAGTAGATGAGTCAGACGTAAGCAAATAAAGATAAGAAGACCACAGAAGCCGCTACTCTTCCAGTTAGAAGGTAAATTAAGGGACCATCTTGGCATGTTCCTTTGCCCATAGAGGCGGCTGGGAAAACGTCCTTGTCCTGTCTCCAAGGAAGAGGTGGTAAGTGGAAGCTACCCTGGCCTATGGCCACCACACAAATGCATCCTTGCTATTGGGACATCCAAAGGCAATGGTGTAGACTTCCCATTGCTCTCTCTGGGGAAAGATCATCTAGCCCCTGAGCCTGGCTTGCCCAGCCCTGCCCAGCGCTGGGCCTGCCTGGCCCTGGCCCTGCTAGCTGTGACACTCTTCACTTAACCCCCACCGGGCCTTCTCGCTGTTCCTGTGGTGTATTCACACGGGGCTCTGTCCCTGCTCTTCCCGAACCTGCCACGGGCTTCGGGTTTCCGCAGGATTCCTCTGCTGGTTGCTCAGGTGTCAGTCATCTTAGGGAGCCCCCCAGATACTCTCTGTGCTGTCAAGTGTCTTTCCCTCTCACCTCAGCCTTTATCTTGTGCGTTTATTGGACTGAATGTAAATTGTGAGAACGGGGCTTTGTCGTAAGCTCCTCGTCTCTTCCTCAGTATAGCGGCTGCACTCAGTGTGTTGTTCTGTTTGCTGACTAATTAACTAATGACCGGAGGAGTCATTCCCTGTTGGCTGAGGCCAGAAGGCCCAGGGCCACTGCCCTCACAGATTGATGGATGGGGCCCCTTTAGGTTGCCCAAGAAGGAGACCCTATGGCCTTGAACTCTAGGTAAGGCAGGGCTTTGGCTTCCAATCCCAGATTTGCTCTTAAATAGTTTCCTGACTTCAGACCAGATCCATGGCACCCATGGGAGCTGAGCGGTTGAAGCAAAGGCCCTCGACTGCTGCTCCCAGGACTGGTTTTCCGGGTCCATGTCCCAGGGTCCTTCTGCTCCCAGTCCATGTGACCCTACACCATGGCCTGAACCCAGAATGCAGACGTGTCCCCAGAGAGTCATCAATGTAGTCACAAGTCTCCACTGAGGGCGAATACTTCAACTTGTTTCCATTGTTTCGCCAAGTTCCCAAGAATGGACTTGTTGGTCACGGGCCAATCTTTAATTGACTCTGGGCTGCAGGCATCTGGTCATGACCTTGGGGCAATGAAGGTGGAGACGGTGGAGGAGGCTAGGATGCTGATATTGAGTACCAGAGCCAAGGAACAGTTTTGGAGGTTACACACTGTTACTGCCCCCAAGCTCCATGTGGCTCTGTCTGCCCCAGTGACCCCCGCGTCCTTACCGGTTGCTTGGAAGCTGCTGACGTCAGGTTGAGGCTGCTGCAGCCAGCGTGGCAAGGGGAGAGGTACTCTACCCCATTGTCTCCGCAGACTGGGTGGAAGATGGAATCTGGGCACGAGCAATCCCTGCGGCAGGCAGGAGGCTGCGGATGTATAGAACTTGATGTGCTGCCAACGAGACAGGAAGCGAGGAATCAAACAAAGCGAGACCGAGAAAGGGTGCTACACTCCAGCCCGGCGTGAGTTCCTGGCCTGGTGGATGTGCCTGCATGTCTCTGTTTGTCTTGGGCCAGTGCCACCCAAGGATCTGAACTGAGCCCGTGGGGGCCAGCTGTGAATCTGCCACTGTTTGGAAATCATGGCTCTCACCATTTATGCTAACGTTGGAGCCCAAACACACCAATTACTCAGTTGGAAAGGTCTAGCCAGCAAACCTCAATGCCACTGTCAGAGTCTAAGTGACCAACTGATTAAGACTCTGTTGAAAGAAATGGTGGATGTCACAGTAATGTCATTGGTAATACCTGCCTTCTCTCATCTTCCAGCTAAGTTTTGGTTAAAGGCAGTGGCTGGGACCTTTGGAGGCACCTGAGGTTCTCATTGCTTGCTCATCTCCTAATTCAATATGGACTTGCTGATCTGGGTCTCCCTATTCCCTTTCCCAGCCTGGCCATCATCAAAGAGGATTTCAATGACTGATCTTATTGGTATTCTTTGGGAAACTTGTGACAGGGACTAACAGATCACAGCTGAAGAGTGCATTGATGAGACAGTGCTAGTGACTGCTAGTATTTATGGGATGTCACAGTGGAAGGAGATTTTCAGGTATAGTCACCTCAATAAGCCTAGAAGATCATGCTTTTTAAGAGGATGAGAAAACTATAGCTTAGGTAGATAACGTTCCCATAGCAACAAAGAGCCTCATACCTAGAACTCAGGCAAAGCAGATGACAGAGTTGGGACCAAACTCCCAGTGAAAACCTCCTAAAGGCCCCAAAGCTTTCAGGCTTCTCTGGGTCCAGAGTCAGCCTGCACAACAGCAGGGAGTTCCCCATGCTAAGCAACATTCTCTCCCTTTGCTTCTCATCCCCTCCCTCACCCCTCAAATACAGAGGTCATCTCAAACTATTTATTCTTTTGGTCTTTGCCTGATGCTGTTGCTATATTTGGAGATGTAGCTCTCTATGAGAAAAAGAACGCACAGGGGCTATAAGAGTCTTCAAATCTTGCAAACTCCTTAGCCGATGTTCTAAAGAAAAGGTTACAAGGTGGTTATTGGAGCGAGGGGGTGAGGAGTGGGGAATTGCGCATGTCCCTTGCTCACAAGGTTGAAACGCCCTTTCTGAAGATGAAGCTTGACTTTAAACACACGTTTCATGCTGCTTTTTACAAATAGGCTGGCACCTGGACCTGCCTTTTGCCTCTTCCGCCCACTTTCATTGCTCGTCTTGAAATCTTTTCAACTCTTCTCATCTTTCTTTGACAGCTCAACAAGGTTCTGCCTAACTCTAGCTAGCCCAGGGCTGACACTAATCATAGATTATTTCCCTAGTTCCTAGGGCTCAGGCTCATTCAGAAACTGAACTGATTAGTTTCTGGTGCTTCTTACAAAACAGAACCTTAGCCCCAACCGTCGGCTGGTCTCATCTCAAAACAGAGCACACTGTTTGAGACCCGGTGTTCTGTATTACTATGTCAGAGATCAGATCCAAGTAGACAGGACAGAGGAGGTAAAAAGAGGCAGAGCAGAAAGACACACAGTGACTGGATTCTGGTTGCGGTTACAAAGGTATCTCGACATGCCTTCGTTCATTACCTGAGGGGGTAGACCTCAGCCACAGCTGGTGTGGAGCATCCCATGAAGAAGAGAGGGGCACAGAGGATGATGGAGACCGTCATGATGGTGGCAGCCACTCGGGGGATGGTTTGCAGGGAGAAAACAAAACGCTTCATGAGGATTCCTCCAAAGAGCATCCCCAAGGCCGCAGCAGGAAGGTTTACAGCACCTGGGGGAGGAGGAGAGGAGCTGGATGCACAGCTCGGGAACCTTGAGTGAGGAACACGGCTTTGTGAAGGAACACTGGGTATATTCGATGACGATAGTAGTGGATGACTATCAAGAATTACTAACTATTGAGTGTTGACTAGGTACATCCTGAGAAGTTGCTTCACTAGAGGGTTGGCCTGCCTGATCAAAGAAAAAAGAAGCAGTCAACCTTTGACACATACAATCCCAGCACTTGGGAAGCAGAATCAGGAGGATCAGGAATTCAAGGTCACCCTCCCCTACCTAGCATGTTCATTATTCGCCTGAGCTGCTCTAGGCCTTGTCTCAAAGAAACAAAATTGAAAACAAGATGATGGCAATAAGGATAAGGAAGCAGATTATTTTGGGGGTGGTAACCAAGTCTGAGGTTGAAGGGGAGATAAATAATGTCCTATCTAAAGCCTACACCGGAGCTCAATGAGTCCAGGGAGTCATCCTCATATCTTATCTTGACAAATCCATATATGTGGTCAAGTTCATCTATGGATTGGTCCCAGGCATCACCCAGGCACTTGGTGGACCCTCCGTCGGTGGTTCTTAGCATCTACTGCAAGAAGTACGGACACCTCCTCCATAGATTCTGGGTTTACTAACTGGGCGGCTCTGAGCATTTGCATTGCCATTGTGTAAAGGAACCTGATGTGTCATGACATTGAGACTCGAGGTCCTGGGGAAGGAAACCCCTTAAGAGGTGTTTTGTGTGTCTCAAGCTCCATGTTCTCTCTCTCCTCTGTTGCCCCTGATAAGGTCAGTTGGGAGGCTATCAGATTCCCACCCTCTTGATGGGAAGGAAAGCAGCCCCCAGTCTCCACCCACTCCTGAATAGAAGAATAGGAGTCCTAGAAATCTGCCAAAAACATTCTAGGTTGCCAACCAGGAAAAATATCCTTAAAATTCTTTCTCTTGGGCAAGTCCTCCTGTCTCCGGTCTGTATCCGGTCTGGCCCTGGGTTATCCTTGGATGGACTGCACCAGTACCCAGTTCCTCCCCAGGGGGCACCCCCCAGGTCCTGCAGCAGTGCCCTCTGACACACCAATGAGGAAGTTGGCATAGGCGGCTGAGGCCCCATACTGCTTCTCCAGGAACTTGTTGAGGAACGTAGAGAGGCCAGCGATGACAGAGGAGAAGGTACACTGAGTCAGGACCACCAGAATGAAGAGTGGGTTCATCAGCAGCCTCAGGAAGATGCGGGGGAACCCTGCAGGGAGATGGCTGTCAGGGGACAGGCCTTGGTAAGAGCATCACAGGCTTCCCAAAACCTTGCCAGCACCCTGACTCGTCCCCCTAGGCAAGCTTCTTCTCTTCCTTGGGGCACAATTAGAGAACTTCAGGCTCACAGTTGTCATCCCAGGGGCGTACCGGTCCTTAGATTCCCAGGGGCATACGGTCCTTGGATTCCCACTCAGCACACTTGTCTGACTAAGACAATGCTGGCAGTAGGTGCATAGAAACTGGGCTCACACTAGGAAAAGTCTCCTCCCACAACTGCCACCTCTACAGGAAGTGAAGAGGAGAGAATGGAAGTGGAGACTTGGGGTGGTGATTGGCTCTGCCTGGATTAGCAAGAACCAGCCACCAGGATCATTGACCAAAACCCTCTAAACCGAGGGGGCACCTACACGGTGAGGCAGTCCCAGATCTTATTGTTTCTTGTCACCCTGTCCCCTGAACCTGGCCTCCTGCCACCCAGAACCAGCCCACCCAAGGCTGCTGGGGCAGTCAGTTACGTTTAATGAAATCCATCAGGGAGCCTCTTGACTTGTCCTCCTCCATCTTCATTGTTTCATCTGCGATAACAGACCTCTGAAGGCAGCAAACATGGTGATGTTAATGGCCCATCCCTGTGCCCTTGACTCTCTGGACTCAGTGGCTCAAGGACCACATGGATGCATGGGAGGGCATCTTGAGGATGCACTCTTGAAGCAAACACCACCTGTGTTTTTTAGTGAGCCTGGTGCCTTGACTGGAGACCAGAGTTAATCCATGCCAACACCTCCCACAGAACCTAAGGGCATGTTATTTCATCTGACTTTCCCATGACTGAGGCCAAAAACATCGTCCTGGATCTTACCCCTTGTCTATATGTCATGACTACACTGTGTCCCATATGCAGACTCCAGGGATGGCTGGTTTCTAGGACAACAGGGGTCTCCAATGTCTACTCTTTTCAGCTCTCCCTTTCTGTGTCCTCTCTAGGGTCTCTGCTTTTTCTCCAACCAAAGGTGAGTCCAGGCACTGTCCTAACCATCACCTGTGCCTCCTGGGCATTACCTCAAGTGCCCTTGCTAATCTCTGAAGCCAGCAGCTCAAGACAGAGGCCGCGACTCTCTCTGAGCCACTGCATAGACATAGGCCTGTGCTCTGCCGTTAGCATTCTTTGGTGCCCCCATTAACTGAGCACCTGCTCCGCTCTGGGCAACATGCCCATCATTCCCCCTGCATTGCCTTCTTCCTCACAGCTTCCTTCCCAGACAGGTTCTCTAATTACCCCCAAGAACGTTACAGGAGAGGAAGCTTAGAAACAAAGCAACTTAGCTAAGATCATTCAACTAGTTTATGAGTGGAAGTCTTCAAGTTTAGATCTGTCTAACCTAGCCTATTAAAATATGCCATAACCTTGTAAATGCTTCCTTGGAATAAGTTTTGGACCTCTCCCCACGACCCCTTTCCCACAGTGGGGCCCATTTCTGTCTCAAATCCCGGATACACGAGCTCCAACTCAGTCCACAGCCAAGTCTTTGCATCATCTCCTCAGGAACAACCAGCCTGCGCTTGGCCCCATCTCTCTGGTGGTCATTGCCCTGGCCCTTAGCCATATTTTCCATCTTTTCTTGAGCCTCTCAGATCTGCAACTTCTGATCCTTCGTGAATCCCAACCTCAGCCAACTGCCATATTGTCTCTAGGTGACCGGGGAGTCGCCACAGTGCCCGGTCACCCCACTGCCTGGAACTCATAGGAGAAAATGGGAAGCATTTCAGCCTCACATAAAGGCCCCACTCGGTTTCCATTCTCAGCTTCCTAGTTCCTTTTTGCAGCAGATACAGCCCTGCTCAAAGCATGCCGCCCTAGACACATCCTTGCACCTCATGCCCTGGACTCCCCTCCTCACCCAGGCTTTCAGGCTCAAACCTTAGTAAGCTCTATTAAACATAGGAGTCAACTGGGCCTCACCCAGCCTTTGTGAGACTCTGTGTGTGTCCATCCATGTGGAGGCCAGAGAACAACCTTGGGTGTCATCCTGCAGGCATCAGCCATCTTGGTTTTGTTTTTTCAAGAAGTGGCCTGGAGCTCCCCATGTAGCTTGGCTGGCTGGCTGGGAAACCCCAAGGAATCCTCCCATTTCTCTGTATACTCAGCATGGGATTGCAATTACACAGCACCATGTTTGTCTTTTTTAGAAAGTGATACTGTGGGAATCAAGCTCCGGTCCTCACGTTTGCACGCAAGCCCTCTATGGACTGAGATAGCTCTCTATCCCCCCCCATCCCACTGTTCATTGTCACTGTTTCGTAACACGTTAGCCCAGCTTAGGTGAACTCAGGGGTTCCCACACTGTGCTCCCTGGAACTCTCTGGTCTTTGAAATGACATCATGGTCGGAGACTACTAGGGGCACCTCGTCTCGGTCTCTGATGAGCCCTGTGTCCCCAGACTTGTCACCTTCTCACCCAGTGTACTGAAGCAGCTGCAGCTTCCCAGCCTTTTGTTTCCCCACCCCGCACACTGTGCTTAAGTCGTGGGCTCTGGGAAACTTACCTCTGCTCCTCTGGGCATTGCTCGGGGGAAGAAAAAAAAGGGCAAAGAAGTAACAACTAGGAAGCCTGAAGAAAGGAGCAGGCCCAGCCACCAGGCTCCGATCCATCGGGGGTCACCTGGGCTCAAGGTCACGGCAGCTAGGAAGAAATCAAAGGATGACAGCGTCTGCTGGTGGAACGCACGCATTCTCTCCAGAATAGACAGGGACTTTCAGTTCAAGGGCTGTCTCCCTGACTTTCTTCCCATAACGGTGACAGGACACTCCGTGGTGTAGGATCGTGGTCACAACACTCCCTCGCCAGGCCTTTTTGGTCTTCCCAGACCACCCGGACCATTGCACAGAAAGCCAGACACTAGAGAATGCCCAGCCCCCACCCCTCTTCACACTGTGCTTCTTCCCTAGCTGTTGGCGGGAATAACGGTGAAAAGATCTGGTCTCCAGAGGGCTGGCGTGGTTCATGTGCTACAGACTTTGTCTCCGTCATCCTACGGTCTCCTCTAGCGTGTCGGTGGGGGAACTGTTATGTACATCTGACTTCCTCTAACGAACCAGGAAACCAAATCCCTGGTCCATTAGTCAATTTCAGACCTGTCTTCCTGGTACCCTAACTACTGAGCTCCATCTTACAGCCTGCTTTTTAGGAACCGTAAGAAAGGCAGTCCTATAATTCTTAGTTGCCCAAATATATAACCATCAACAAGGTGGGTTGCTTGTCCTCCAAAAGAGAAATGTTCCCCTGAAAATCTGCCCCACACTCCATCTAGAAGCCTCCATTGTGTTCCTGGACCTCAAATATAGAGACAGAATCTTTATTTTCTGGAAGAAAGTGGCAGAATGTCACTCGGCAACAGGCATTGTCCTACACGGTCCAGGAGCTCCATTGCTCATCTCTTTAGGCAGTCTAGAGGGAGGAGCTAAATCAGAAGCCGCAGCAAAAGGGTGACAAGAATGTGTGTCTTCTGCATACCTACCAGTGTCCACCCTGCCGTAGTCCACAAAGATCCTGAGCATGACTGAGCCCAGCAGGTACCCGAAAGCTGGTCCAAACACAGCGATAGCAAATAAGATGGCTGGAAATTGAAGCAAGGGATAAGGGGTTGAGGAGACACTGAGAATGCTCAGCAAGCCTAGTTTCCCAAACTGAGGGAGATTCCCGAGGTATCACCCACTGTCCCCTGGGAATAAGGAGCCCACCATGCCTAGGTCACTTCCTGCAGCCCACGCCTATCACATCTCCTGCAGACAAGGGCCAGATGCCAAGGCTGGCAGAACCAAGCCTGCTGCTCCTCCAGCACCTGCCAGAGAGATCTCCTGGCCTGAAATGAACCTGCCTCCACCGTATCTTAAAAAAATACCAGTCCAGGGTGTGTTAGCGGGTGAAGCTTTCTGTGTACAGTGCTGGGGCTCTGGCGAGCGAAGGTAGCGCTGGAGATGCAGTTTATGACCTGAGGCCCTGAGAAAGCTCAGTGTGGCTCTTTCTGAGGGAAGAAATCAGGCACCAGTTGGCCATCTGCTACCCACTTCACACATGACCACCTGTTCACAGCTCAGGGAAGTAGTGTATCACCCAGCATGAGCCTGGAGAACTGAGTGATTTGTGGAGGATCAACAGAGAGTCTAAACCCATGGCCCAGAGGCCACATGGCCTCCTGGATAGTTACAAATGTGGCCCAATACACATTTTAAACTTACTTAAAACAACATATGTTTTAAGTTCTTTAAGCATTTAAAGAACTCGATTGCATGATTCTCTAGTGTGAACTTGGTAGAACACAATGTCATGCTGTGCTGTCAAAGGCTCAAAACAGTGCTAAATGGTGATCATATCAGCTCCCATAATCCCAAATCACATGGGACACACAAAGAATCTTGGCTCTGTTTTCCAGGTGAGAGCCTGGAGACCTGGGCTAGCCACTTGAGACCCACACAAGTGGAAGAAAACAGAACTGGCATTCATAACAGGTCTTTTTCTTCCACCGTATTGTGGGCCAAGAAGATCAGACCCCATTTCAACCCCAAGAGCTTCTGCAGGTGTCACATCAGGTCCCAGACCCCCCACCCCAACAGCCCCCTTAAAGCTCAAGACTCACAGATATACAGAGGGGAGTTGGTGGGCTCCGCAAAGTCATCCACATAGGAGATCCCAAATGGCTGAATGGGCACTGTCCCAATGCCGGCCAACAGCTGAGCCATCACCATCAGGCCCCACATGCTGCTGGTCTCCTTTTGCGTGTCTGGCACGGTGCTATGGCACTTGCTGGGGGGCAGGTCCGGCAAATGCTTCTGACAAAGGTCAGCCTGAAGGCGGCTGCTGTTTCCTGCAATGAGCATGCCCACAGGTCACCACCACTCTGGCCTCTTGCTTTCACCATCTGTCCTCCAATCTTGCCCTCGTTTTGTCCTTTCTCCATATCCCAGTGGAAGGGAAGGAGGGCCAGGGAATAGGAAAACAGGACAAGGTCCTTGAGGAATAGTCTTCTGCTTGACTGGCAGAAGGAACTACAGAGACTGAGGTGGGAGTAAGGGGGACTGTGGCCCCTGCATCAGGAGAAACTCTGCCCAAGATGGGACAGGAGCAGTCCTTCTTCCTCCTCTACTGCTGCTGGTAGAGGGCGGAGCACGCGGATCAGTACTGCAGCCTTGGAGCACAGCACTGCCCAGCTGGAAGAAGGAATCCACAGTCAAAACCCAGAGTTCTTGCCACCGCCAGCCTTGGCTCTGGTCTTCCCTGGGCCATGACCCCCTAATCCTTCACTTCTGAATGATCCCAGCACCTCAGCACATCGAAGGACTTGCTGCTAAAGATATTCAGTGACCTGACCACACCTGGGCAGCTCCCCAGAATCAGATTCTTAATGCTTTTTGGCCTTTTGGCGAGGATCAAGTGAAAAATCACAGACTCGGAAAACAAGGGGATTTGGAGGCCCTCGCATGTTACAGATTGGGGAGCTAGGCTGCACCTGGAAGCCCTTCTTGAAAGGCTCCACTCATCCCAGCATGGACTTTGGATGCCACGGTTCCTGTGGCTTGGACCTCGTCAGGCTTGGCGGCTGCTTCCATGCCTCTGCTTTCAATTTGGTCCACATTAAACAGTCAGTGTTGTCGGCTTTCCAAGGCCTTGAGGGGCTTGAGGGATCTTTTCCAGATTCCTTTTATTTCTGCCTCGTTCTGGCCAATGGAAATCACTGATGTCACCATTCTCGCTCTGTGGGGTTTTCACTAACACTAATGGAATCAGTTTAACTCCTACTTATGATGTTTCCAGAGCCACGGCCCTGAGGCGGGGGGCCCCAGAGTCTCCTGGAGAGGAAAAGTGAGGGTCATGGAGTAGATGATAGGTCTGGGGCATCCATCTCTGTTGCCCTTTCCCCCTCCCACCCAGGCCTCATCTGGCCTAACACCATCATTGCCTGTCCTCAGCGTTAGGGTCTAGACAAGACTCATTTACAAACTTCCAGCAAAGGGGCCTCATCACTCTTTGGTCACTGAGGTCTGACTTAGAAAAAAACAGAGGGGACCAAGGTCAAGTATTATGTGAAACTGTTTATGACAGTGCTCATCTGTCTTGAGTAATCTCAGAACTCAAGGAGCTGAGACAGAAGGATTACCAGTTAGAGGGCAGCCTGGTCTTCATAGCCTGTGACCCTTTCAACAAACCAAAATATTATTATAACTACTAATTAATGCTCATGGGTGGTGCAGCATGTTGATGACTTTGACCCAGACCCAGATAAGGGGCCCATTATCTGTGACTATTATCTGTTCAAGAAATAGTTTAAAGGTCATCTGAAAGTAAATGACAATTCCAGGAAAGAGGTATAAAGACTTGTCCCCTTGCCCAGCTCAGCCACTGGAGACCCATGCCTAGATCTGAGAAACCATCCTCTGAATGGCAATGTGGGCGATACCTGCCTACTGAAAAATACTTGCACCAAGGTTCACTGCTTTAGTCTCTCAGTCATCTTGATGTGGGATTCCCCTCTGTATGCTGTGACTACCATTGGTGAATAAAGAAACTGCCTTGGCCTGTTGATAGGACAGAACTTAGGTAGGGGGGAACTAAACTGAATGCTGGGAGAAGGAAGGCAGAGAGAGAGAGAGAGAGAGAGAGAGAGAGAGAGAGAGAGAGAGAGAAGTCATGTAGCCCTGCTAAAGACAGACACCAGAACTTTATCTGGTAAGCCACAGCCTCATGGTGATACACAGATTACTAGAAATGGGTTAAATTAAGATGTAAGTGTTAGCCAATAAGAAGCTAGAGCTAATGGGCCAAGCAGTGATTTAAATAATATAGTTTCTGTGTGATTATTTCTGGGATGAGCAGCCGGGAGCCAACAAGTGGCCTTTCTTCAAACAAATTGGCATGCCAACATGGGTAACTACATCTACATAAAAACCTGAGGAAGCTTAAAAAGGAATCCTAGACACAAAAGAAAAGAGGTAAGCATGGTTTGGTAGTGGCATTTTCTTGGGTGGGCTCTGTTTGTTAGAAGCAAGCAGAAGCATGGTTCCTTTAAGAGAGGTTTTCCTGATTCAGTGATAGCAGAAAAAAATGCTGAGCTGTTTTGAAATTCTGGCTTCAGAAAGCTGCCAGTGAGAACTCTGGCTCTTTCAGGAGGCTGAGCATTTAAATAGGGTTTGTAAACAAACTGCTTACTGGCTCAATATATTCCTGCTGCATACTTGCAACTGGGGTGGTATGGGGCTCAGAGGTAGTGAACAGTTCCTCCATTCTGGACTGGGGCAAGCAGTCAGTACCATATATACTCTAGTAATGCCATATCTTAAGTTTTTAAAAAGCGCTTCACATTTTAAGAAGTGCCCCTGAACAGTAAAGAATTACAGATACACAATAGGACACATTCAGACATAAAAGACCTCTAAATGGGTCACAATGTTGGATAAATGTATCTAGGCTTGGGAGAGAGAAGAAAAAAAATATAGACAGTTATAAAAAGAAGTAAACGGTTAAAAAAAGGTAAAGTCTTTAAAGAGACAGAGTACAGACAGTCATAGATTAAAAGGAGTAAATAAAGAATAAGACACATAATGATGGAATATACACAGAGAGTCTGTATTATGCATACTATTGTGTTTTCTTTGAATTTTTTGACTACAGAGAGACATTTGATTCTGGGGACTGCTAAGCTAAACCAGCATATACATTTTAAAGGTATCTTGAATTCAAAATTTGGGTCTAAGACTATGTTGCTTTGAAAAAGAGGTTTTTCTTTTGATTCCACAAAAGACGAGAGACTGTGGAATCCTTCCAGACTAATATGGTTTGATGAACCAAGACACCTTGAAAGGTCACTGTAAATACCCTCCAAAATACTTCACCCAACAAAAATCAGGAAGAAGTTTGAAGAGAACTACGTCCATATTCCCAAATATTGTTTATAAATGTTTCTTTACATTTAAAGGGGGAAATGCTATAGAGATTTACATTGGTATCAATCTTGGTTTATTGATACAAATTTAAGGTCAATTTTGTTATAGTATATTCTGCTCTTGATTAAGGTATTATGTTTGTGCATTTAAAAATGTAATGTATAATTAAGAAATATAGGTTAATAGATAATCATCTATAATAGTCAAGCTTGTAGGTATACTCTAGATATACAGAGATGTATTTCAGATGGGTAGGCATTCTTTAAACTTCTTATAGACTACAGAATATAGCATTTAAAATGTTTAAGAACTTAGGAATTTTCATGACAGTGAGACACATCTGCTCCTGGCAGCACTATGCTACTTCAAGAGGAAGATGGGCATTGAAGAGGCTCCTTACAAAGTTGGTTAGCCATTTGGACAAGAAACTGCTCTTGCCTGTACTACTTGATGGTATGTTGAGTGAACTGGACATGTAGGACCCACAGAGAAATGACTGCTGAACTTGCCGAAAGGTGAGACTGTCCTTCAAGGTTCCTGCTTCATAAAATAATCTGTTAGACATTCTGCAGGACATAGAAGAAAGTGACAGACAAGCTGCAAATATAGGTAGAATTGTCTTTGAAATTTCCTGCTTCATGGAAAAGTCTGCTGGATATTATGGGCCTGTAGGCTGAAGATGGATGCCCCAATGGTACAGAAGAACTTTGGGAGACGGTCCAGGCAGCAAGATGTCTCTGTCAGTTCTAGAGTTTTGGAAGTTGCTTACAATGCTCTTCCTGTTTACTAAGGTAATATTATATCCTTCTGGAGTCTTTGATGGAGTTGAAGAGTAGATAGTAATAATATAGTTTTCCTTAGTTATGATAAAAGATAAAGTAAATATAAATATTGTAACTGTAATTCTTGCTTGGTACCTGTTTTGTTATATGTAATTTTACTATGTTAAAGTTAAAACCTTCCTTTTTATTTAAACAGAAAAGGGGCAGTGATGTGAGATTCCCCTCTGTATGCTGTGAATACCATTGGTGAATAAAGAAACTACCTTGGCCTATTGATAGGACAGAACTTAGGTAGGCGAGGAAAACTAAACTGAATGCTTGGGGAAGGAAGGCTTAGAGAGAGAAAAAAGCCATATAGCGTCTCTAGAGACAGATGCTGGAACTTTATCTGGTAAGCCACAGCCTCATTATGATGCATAGATTACTAGAAATGGGTTAAATTAAGATGAAAGAATTAGCCAATAAGAAGCTAGAGCTAATGGGCCAAGCAGTGATTTAAATAATATAGTTTCTGTGTGATTATTTCTGGGCTGAGCAGCCGGGAACCAACAAGCAGCTTTCCTTCAACATCATCTGGCTAGTGACAGCTGACACAGGCATGACTGATGTTGGGACCATTTGAAGTCCCAGCCTCCAGCTACTCTTCCCTGCTAGAGATCTTTGCTTTCCTTCTGATTTGAGTTACCGAAAGCTGTGTCAAAGTTGTTTACCAGTTCTGCTTCACAAACATGTGTTGCCTTGCCTTGAGGATCAGAGGATAAGGTTTTCATCTGTTGGCCCACCTTACTGTTGGGTATATAAGACTCCGTGGCGCTACTGAATAAAGGGCTTCTTACCAGTGACTAGAGGTCCGTGTCTCTGTCTGTGTGTCTTTGTGTGTTTCAATCTCCAGCCCCTTGCCCAAAGCTCACCAACTATATGGTAGCGCGTAGAGTGCAGAGAGGCATTGTGTGCTGCAGCCCTTACATATTCTTCAACTCACTACTGGCCCCAGGTTGCTAAAAAGTCAACCACAGTATTGCCTCACCAAATCAGAATCAGAATATCACTTAATGCCCCGCAGGATGACTGGCATCAAAAAAACCGGAAAACAACAGGGGCTGGTGACGATGCAAGGCCAGTGAGACCCTTGCACACTGCTGGTG